GGTTCCACACCCCATCCTCGAGGTGGGCCCCCGAGATGTTCCTGGGCCAGGCCTGCGCGAGGGGTGAATCGCGCAGGGCCAACAGGGCCGTCTTCGTGTACATGGTCCGAACAAGAGAGTCCGTGGCATAGAGGGAGGAGTGATGTTCAGTCCCCTTAGGTCTTTCAAAACCAGGTCAAACGGAGACGCAAACAGGCCGTGAGTATCCTCTAGGCCGGGGCGGGCCAAGTCCAAGTCCAGGCCCAAACCCAGGCCCTGCCCGGCCAAGGCCGCTGGAAAGGCCGCTGGAAAGGCCATAGAGATCGTCAAGGCTGCTGGGGAGGCTCTGAAAGGCCTCCAGTTGAAATCAAAACGGCCAAAAAGGCCCTCGGATAGTTCAAACAAACCGCTCAGCCATCGCGACCACCAGGGCTGCCACCACCAGGGGGCCGTCGAGGCCACCACCAGGGGGCCGTCGAGGCTGCCCGAAGAACCCTCCGAAGGTCCCAGGCCGCCGGGGAGGCTGAAAACCATCGTCGGGGGGGGGCGTCTGTAGGGGCCGCCGCAGCCACCAAGAAGGCCACCGAGTCCACGCGGGCCTCCAGATCGTCGGGGAGGCCCTCCAGGTCGTCCAGGACATCTCCGAATCCGGAAGGGGCCGAGGGGGGCAGCCAGAAAAACCCCCACGATCAAAGCGGGCGCCCAGGGAAAGCCGCCCAGGCCGCCCAGGCATTGTTCAAAACATGAACAGTTATATAGTTTAAATAAAAAAATTGTGGTCTTTATGTTAAGATATTAATTGAATATCCTTTATGATCATTAAATGCTATAGGTATTTTAAAGTAATATGTAATAGGACAATAATCCATAGAAACAAGGGGAAACACTAAGACAATACCAGTTCATCTTCTGTATGGCAGTTAGTTACTCTACAAAATGAGCCAAAATAGAAAAAAATGTGATATTCTGTTATTTCTGATATTTCTGTTATCCAAACATCAAACTAATACAAGTCTGAAATAGATTTACTGCTTTAATGAAGTGTTGATTTAGCAACTGCTTGTCCATTATGTGATTAAAAGCCATGCTTGATGAGATAAGCTTGACCAGAATGAGGTGTCGTCACCGTCACATCATCATCATCAATTAATTAAACATATATGCTGCTTGACTCCTATTTACTCTTGGTGGTTGTTCTCCATGAGTAATAATCTCCCATTTTAAGTCTATTTGAGTGAACTGTAGTCCAAGATCTCTTCCTACTCTTATTCTGTTCTGTTGTTCTGTAATTCCACTTGGACCAGGGTAAAAGAGTTCACCTGCAATATTGAAGAAAGCACCATCCTGAAAGCAGCCAGATATTTAATTAATTAGTACTTCTTACATTTGGATTTCTTGGATTGTTTTTGTAAGATGGCATGATTTATTTAGATTTTTTTTAACCTGCACTCTTTCTATGAGATAATTTTGTTGGCAATTTTCATTGAGGCAATATAGGGGTGGTTGAAACAAAGTTTGTGTTGCCTAGACTTCATAGAAACCATAGATAAACTGTTATATATTATCTGAAGAACAATGTATAAACAAATACTCTATGGGCAAGAACCCTAAAGTCATCAGTCATCATCTGAGCTTTCAAAATATATATTAGATGTAGGAGTCATCTATATATTGGACATCAACCCATATTTATATGGCAGGTCAAATTGATCATTAAAATCAACCTTTTATGTTTCAAATGACTAAAGAAATAACCCCAAATAAATTTGTTAGTTTTCTTATCCCATATTAAAGAAAACCTTGGCTTCTCCAACATGATGAGTGTAGAATCCACCGGTGGGTAATCTCAGCCTTCCTGCTCAGTTGAGACTAAGTCAGAAATCTGCCATGCCTCCTTCTGGGCTGGACCTTGCCCAGTTTTTGTCTTAGTCTTAGCTCAGCAGGACGCAGTTTCTTGGCTCCTCTGATCACTAAATTAGGTTAAATATTTAGCAGCTAATTAATTAATTATCTAGTTGATCCAAATCAAATTATTAGTCTTACTAGTCATTTCGGCTCCAAATTGTTAAAGCTTAACTGGCAGCTGACTGCAGCCTCAGCTCTAACGAGCCTTGCAGGCTCCACCCGAGCTGTCCTTCCACTCACAGGGTTCTGAGAACATCGCAAAGGAATTTCCCCACATC